AGGGGGGTATGGGGCAGGCCAAGGCCTTTGAGGGGCTCGGGTCAGGGCTGGGGTGGGGACAGGGTCTGCCCTGGCGTGGTCAGGTCACAGAGCGCTCAGGACCATCAAGGAGAGGGGAATGTCTACGGAGGGGCAGGGCTGGACCCCGAGGGTCTGCAGAGCCTCTGGGGTCAGGTTCAGGAGAGGCAGGGGCCTGCAGGGTCTTTGCTTGCGTCCCCCAGCAGCACTGGGGGCTCTTTGGTCACACCAAGTTCAAAACAGCTGCCTCCCATCACCGCTGCAGTGATGGGCAGAGGGCGAGCAGAGATTCCGGTGGTGGCTCAGACCTTACCCGGGGCGTTTTTTTCTTGGTAGTGCCCCAGATGTGGGTAATTCTGGGGGAAGTAACAAGGCCTTGGTGGCTCTGGATGGGCGCCATACTGAGCTGACCCCTTCTCTCCCGCCAGGAGAACTACGATGACCCCCACAAGACGCCTGCCTCCCCGGTGGTGCACATTCGGGGGCTGATCGACGGTGTCGTGGAGGCCGATCTCGTGGAGGCCCTGCAGGAGTTTGGCCCCATTAGGTGAGGGGACACGTTGGGGGACACACGCGGTGGTAGCGTCACCGCAGCAGCACTGTGGTGTCGGTCTGACCGTGACTTTTTCTGTGCCAGCTATGTGGTGGTGATGCCCAAGAAGAGGCAAGCCTTGGTGGAGTTTGAGGACATCCTTGGCGCCTGCAATGCTGTTAATTACGCAGCCGACAACCAGATCTACATTGCTGGTCACCCCGCCTTTGTTAACTACTCCACCAGCCAGAAGATATCCCGCCCTGGGGACACGGATGATTCCAGGGGCGTCAACAACGTCCTGCTCTTCACCATCCTCAACCCTATCTACTCCATCACAACGGTGGGTGATGCACTGGGGGGTCCTGAGGGTTTTGGGAACGTGGAGCCAGGCATGCGGCTCTGTCCCGGCCCCTGGCACATGCTGCTTTAATGGGGCTCAGGGGGGTTCTGGGGCACCGCCACTGTGCCTCAGCCAGATCCCTCACCCTTTCTTACCTCTCCTATGCCGCAGGATGTGCTCTACACCATCTGCAACCCCTGCGGCCCCGTGCAGAGGATCGTTATTTTCAGGAAAAACGGCGTCCAGGCCATGGTGGAATATCCTTCTGTGCCTCAAGAGCCTGGGGCTACCTTTCTTGTGTTTTTTCTGCTGTGGGTTGGTTTGGCTCTGCTGCAGACTGGTCGCCTTGGCTGCACTCTGGTGTGTCCTGCCCAGCTACGGGGAGGGAGCTGAGGGTTTCCCAAATTATCCGTGTGCTCAGGGAGTGACGCCTGTCACATGGTGTAGTCAGATCCGTTCTCCCAGACAGCGAAACCCTCCATAAAGACGCTTTCATTTCTGTAAACGTCCTTAATGCCGCCAACGTTTGACTCGGTGCAGAGCGCCCAGCGAGCCAAGGCATCCCTCAACGGGGCCGACATTTACTCCGGGTGCTGCACACTGAAGATCGAATATGCCAAGGTAAGCGTCCCCGCCAGCAGCGCGCACCCCTCGTGGGGTGACACCACTGACGCCTGACGCTTCTCCGTGTGTTTCTTACAGCCCACGCGTCTCAACGTCTTCAAGAACGACCAGGATACCTGGGACTACACCAACCCCAACCTCAGCGGACAAGGTAATCTCCGATGACGTGCTTTGTACCTATGCACACGGTCGGGCACAGCACTCTCATACCGACCCACAATATGTAATGCCATTCGCCTGCCTGTACCTTCAGCCGGGGCTGGCGTGGGCTCGGTGGGGAGGGGGCTCACGTGGGCCTGGGGTTGAATCGAGTTGAAAAACCGAGCGGCAATGGCCAGGGGTTTCTCTCGGTGGTTTGTTCTGCGCATTGCTCGTCGGGGAGTATCCGTGTCAGGCGCATGAAGTGAGGGGGAGTCTCTGCACTAGCGATACGCGGTTGTTTTTTTTCTATTTAATGAGTTTCTGGTGGTTCGGTGCAGGGGGGGGAAGTGCCATTGCTTTATCGTGTCTGCCCCGCTGCCGGCTCTTTGCGTGCCTCATCTTCCGAACTGGATTTACCAAATCGGGGCCGTGTCACCCTCCCGGAGCCGAGGGGCGAGCTGGAAACGCCCCTGGCCTGGTGGGGGGCAGCACCGGCCCATCTGTAAAACCGGAGAGGAGACGCCGGCTCCCTTGAGCTTGAGACAAGGTGGGGGAAAAAAGACACCCCCCCACCCCCAAAAAACGCTGTGCTCGCGGGAGCGGACGTCTCCTGCTCCCAGCTGGATGCCGGGGCGGCCGTTGATGCCCTCCGTGTTGGGCTGCGCAGGGTCAGCCCCGCACGAGGAGCTCGGCGATGGGGTTTGGGATTTTTTTGAGGTCTCTTTTTTTTTTTCTCTTTTTTTTGAAGTGAAATGCTTCATGTTTTAAAGCTGGGGTGTCGGTGCCAGGCGGCCTCGACTGCTCAAAGCGAGGATGGGGGTGGGGGGATGGCAGGCACAGGGGATTTGAGGGGACTGGGATTCGCTGCGGGAGCCGCCAAGCCACCGTCTGCCGGACACCCCCGCTTTTTCAAAGCTGCACAGCCGTTCAGGTGCTGATGCAAGCAATGGCATTACATGACTTAGCGAGGGGCAGGGGCAGAGCTCTCCTGCCAGGTACATACGTAGAAGATGTGCAGAGCCGCAGGGGCGAGAGGGGGCTCGCTGGGAAGCGGGCGGGGGGTACGGTAACGTGGCCTTTCCCAGCTCCGAGCAGTCATTTGCACATAACCCCGGGGACCGTACTACAGCGGAAGTCCCGAATGGGCCGTGACCTGCCTCTGCACATTCCTCACACCACACAGTGTAGAAACCTTTACTGGAGAAAACACGCAGCATCCAGAAACAAGCAGCAGCTTGAGCTCATTACATCAAGGACACAACACCGTGGCCCAAGGACTATCTACAGCACAGAGAGAGAGAAAGAGGCGCAGCATGCCACAGCAGACATTTACCTTTACTTACCAAAACCAGACCAAACCGAACCCACGAATGTACACAGAACTAGAAAACACAGCCCAGAGGGTCCTCAAAACAAGCCCAGCAGCGCTCTTACCGGAGACCGGAGTAGATCTGAGGCCCTCCAAGACCTTAGGATTGCTCTCAGCACGGTTTGGTTTGGGAGGGCAGTTCCTTTGCTTTACGCTGTTTCTCCTGCAGTCCTCAACTGCCACCATATCAGCGCCAAGCGGAGAAAACAAAACAAAAAAACCAAACCAAAAACCAAACCAAAAACCAAACCCAGCCAACACAAAGCAACCCAACCCCAAGGGCACACAGGTCCCTAGGAGGCTGTAGCTGGGGCTGTGCGGCTCTGGCGCAGGCCGGCGCTCGAGCCGAGACACATTTCCATTACAGAGGAGACACGCACATGGGAAAGAGCTACACAGAGCCAGAAGCACCATTTTGTTACAGCACAACACAAATTGCAGGAGGTGAAACATGGAGGAACACTCTCATTTATCACACCTTTATGTCCTCTCTCTCGGTACCTTCTGAGGACAAAACATCTGTGAGACCTTTTTTTTAAAAAAAAAAAGATTTTACTTTTTTTTTTTTTAAAGAAAAATTGTAGCGGTTTTGTGCCTTTGACCTGTGTTTATGACTCTGAAACCATGTGATGCAGGGTCGCAGTGTATGTTTGATGGGACGCCATCTTTCAGAACTGTGCTAACTCACTCTTGAAGCGTCCAATGGTAAGAGAAATACAGAATTTTTATATGACAATGGACATTGTACTTTGTACTCCCGCTGTAAGTAGCCCTTTTCAATCTTTGTAATTGACTCGGAATAAACCTGTACGAAACCCGGTCGTGTAAAGGGAAGAGAAGAGCAACTGTACGGTGACATGAGCGTGTTTATGCCTTGTACGTGATGGCTCGTTTTAACCTGTTACTGCTGTTGCTTTGCTGCCTGTACCAGTCTCGCTCCCTCTCCCGTTTTGTCGGGGCAGGGAGATGTCTTGCCACTTTTTATTATTATTTAATTTACATTTTTATTTTTCCTTTCTGTACATTAATTTTTTAATTTTTTTTTTAATGGCTGGGTAGAAACTAGCAGCATCCCAGAGGCCGGGGGGCACGGAGTGGGGCGCTCCCCTCACCGCACCTCCCTCCTAGTCAGCTTAGGGGGGGCCAGGGCTGGTCCCTGGTGGGCGGGAGGGAGGGGGTAGGATTGTTGTGTGCGGGGGGTTCTTCTCCCGGGATTGGCCCCCTTGCTCCGGCTGGGGCCCTCCGTCCCCGCAGGGAGGAGACGTGGGGGTCCCGGTTGGGAGCTGGGCGCAGGGGTTCGGAGCCAGCCCCGCCGTCGCCTTCCTGGGGTAGCTGGGGGATCCCCAAAGCCTCCCCAGGGCCAAGCTCGGGTGTCAGGGACTGGAGGGGCCCCCGGCACCCTGGGGAGTGGTGTTCCCCCCTCCCCACCACCACCGAGACCACTCTAACTACTTCTTCCACCCGCAGGAGACCCGGGTGGCAACCCCAACAAGCGCCAGCGGCAGCCCCCGCTCCTGGGAGACCACCCTGCGGAGTACGGTACGGCACCTTTCGCCATAGGCTGAAGGGGGGGTCCTCAGGGTGGGGTGGGGGGCCACACGATGCCGGGGGGGAATCTCCAACCTTCTCTCCGCGCAGGAGGCCCCCACGGCGGATACCATGGGCACTACCACGACGAGGGTTATGGCCCCCCGCCGCCCCACTACGAAGGGAGAAGGATGGGCCCTCCGGTGGGGGGGCACCGTCGGGGACCCAGCCGGTATGGTCCCCAGTATGGGCACCCGCCGCCGCCCCCACCGCCGCCGGAGTACGGCCCCCACGCCGACAGCCCTGTCCTCATGGTCTATGGCTTGGATCAGTCCAAGATGAACTGCGACCGCGTCTTTAACATCTTCTGCCTCTACGGAAATGTGGAGAAGGTAAACGGAGGAGGGGGGCTTCCCTTGGAGGAGGGGGGGGACACACAGGTTTGGGCATGGAGATGGGGGCATCATCCGTTCCACCACTTCCCTTCCAGGTGAAGTTCATGAAGAGCAAGCCGGGGGCAGCCATGGTGGAGATGGCGGACGGCTACGCTGTGGACCGGGCCATCACCCACCTCAACAACAACTTCATGTTCGGGCAGAAGCTCAATGTCTGGTAGGTCTTGAGCCGGGGTGGGGGGGGCAGCAACGGGCAGCCCTGCCTGCCGTGCTGAGCCCCCCCCTTTCCTGCCCCGGCAGCGTCTCCAAGCAGCAGGCCATCATGCCTGGGCAGTCCTACGGGCTGGAGGACGGATCCTGCAGCTACAAGGACTTCAGCGGCTCCCGCAACAACCGCTTCTCCACCCCCGAGCAGGCGGCAAAGAACAGGATCCAGCACCCCAGCAACGTCCTCCACTTCTTCAATGCTCCCCTGGAGGTGACCGAGGACAACTTCTACGAGGTATGGGGCAGACCCCCACCTGCCCTCCTCCTCTTCCTCCTCGCGTCTGCCTTTCTCTCCTCTCTCCTTCCTCCGTGCGTCTGCCTTGTCCCCTCTCTCCCCTCAGTCCCCTCTCTCTGCTCTCCCCTCCGTCCTTTTCCTCCTTCTCACTTCTTCCTTCGTCTCTCCTTCTTTTCCTCTTCCCTTCCTTTGCCGCCGCCTCCTCCTTACTTCTTCTTTTGCCGCCTTGTCCGCCTCCTCCTCCTCCTCGCTTTTGCCGCCGCCTCCTCCTCCTCCTCCTCCTCCTCCTCGCTTCTTCCTTCTTGCTTTTTCTCTTCCTTATTCCTTTTACTCCTCCTGCCTTCTTTTTCTTTCTCCTCCTCGCTTGCTCCTTCCTCCTCCCTTTCCCCCCTCCTCTTCCTCCTCCTCCCTTTTCCTCCGCCTCGCCCCCTCTCCTCCCTTATTTTTGTTTTTTTTGGTGGTTTTTTTTTTTCCTCTCTCCTCTCTTCCCTGCCCCAGATCTGCGATGAGCTGGGAGTGAAGCGACCCTCCTCCGTCAAGGTCTTCTCGGGGAAGAGTAAGTGCGGGGGGGCAGGGAGCGGCCGCCCGGGGGGTGCTCCCTGCCCCGGGGGGGGGCGTGCGGGGGGGCAGGGCGGCACGGCCGCCGCAGCCGCCGGGCTGAGGAAGGGACACCCCCCCACAGGCGAGCGCAGCTCCTCGGGGCTGCTGGAGTGGGACTCCAAGAGCGATGCCCTGGAGACCCTTGGCTTCCTCAACCACTACCAGATGAAGAACCCCAGTAAGTCACCCCCCCG